GAGCTGCTGAAGCCACGGAGTGGCGCACGGCGGTGGCGCGAGAAAGCGCTTAAAGCGAGCACACGTACGGGGTGAGACGTGCGCTGGTTGGTGTGTTGGTTGTATATTGTTTTGAAAAGTGTCGCGGCGCGCGCGGACGCACGCGACGCATCACGTCACGTCACGTCACGTCACGTCACGTCACATCACATCGCGTCGCGTCACATCGGATCCCATCGCATCGCATCGCATCGGATCAGTCGCGAGGCGCCAAGTTGAATCGGAGTACATCGGCGAGATCGTGTCCCTCTAGACGAGGTAGAGCGAGCGAAGTGTACATCCTTGTGTCTCCTTGGGTCGTCCGTAATAACGGTGCATACGTCCGTCGCCTCCAGCGTTTCTTCGTCTTTCCGCTGCGTGAATATTCCATCCGTCCATCCATCCATGCGTGCGTAAACGCGACGGGAACGAACGCGGGAAAAGCGTGCGTGGGGTAATGCATGCGACAGGCGTCGCGGCGCGACGCGCGACGAGGAAGTCGTCCGAGGGAGGCCGGTGAGTGTCGCGGAGTGACGAAAAACCGAAGGAAGGTATCCCTTCCGTGATCCTCGTGCCCGACGGCGGGACTATCGTGAAATCGCGAGGACGCGTGAAACGACGTGTAATCAATCCAACCCGGGGGTCAGGAGTGTCAGTAGTGCGTTGTCGTCGTCGGACTACGCCGACGACGACGGGAGAAAAGGTGGAGGAGAAGATCAGTGCCGTCGCGCGGAGGAAACTTGAGGGGAAACCCGACGTTTTGTGTCGTTTTGTCGTACGATCGCTGTTGAACTCGCTCCGATAATCCCGGAGGAAGGCAACGTCCTATCTTCGCCACCGCGGCTTGGATGGATACTGTGCATTATTTCTGGAGTGAGTTTCTCTCTTTATTTACTGTGTATGCGTGAATGCGTGTGTACGTAAATGCGTGCGCGCGTGTCTGTGAGTGAATGCGAATGTCCATCCCCTCCGTCGCTCGGCCGTCGACACGTACGAGCGCGTATGAACGCGAGAGTGTTCCCCGTGAAGACGCGCGTACGCAGCAACAGCCCGCGGTTTTTCTGTGGACCTCTTTCTCTCTACGCCGAAGCAGCGGGACTTCTTTTCCCGAGTCCTGTTACTCACCGCGATCGTACTCGGTACCCCACGAACAGCTGCGTGCGATCATCACATCCATTGTTTACGTGTCTTTACTAAGAGACAGGCGCGCACCTGACCGAACGGCTAAAACACAAGCGTCAGCGCGCGGCGGACTCGTTACTTTTAGCCCGTCGATGCCTTTTCGAGAAGTTTCAAGCTCGCGCGGCCTTTAAGCTCGATTGACGAAGGTGCTCGAAATTCGTTAGTAAAAAGAACGAAGATGAAATTCATTAAACCTGACTGAGAGCTTTATTTGTGTTCCTTTCTGGAATGCTGTTTTTTTACATTACAGAGAGACAACACGTATTGTCTACCTTCTTATGATGTCTTTTATAGCGAATTTGGTTGGAATTGTTTAATATGAACCAGTGCATATTAAAGTCGTTGTACACTAATTTAATTTGTGCAAAAGTAAAATGCAAATATTTCAAATTATAAAATGCAGACTTTACTTAACAGCACAATATAATGTATCGAGGATTTGATGATTCAATATTAAACACACATTTTTACGTTAATTTGTGTACGACGACTTTAGGATGCACCTGTGCGTGCTGAGTGCATCCAATCGAATTTGCTATTAGATATCTTTTAGACATGCATATCCCAAAAGACGTCTCTTACGACGTCTTTTAGACACGCATGTTGTGTAAATATTTTGTAATGAATTACGGAATTGTTAAAATATAATTCGCACAGATATTCAGGATAATAAAAACATGTTTTCAGAATTGTGCGTTTATGCGTAAAATATAATCTACATCTACGTGTATACAATGTAAACTATGTAAACTGTGTTTTGTGTATCTATGTGAACAATTTATCATAGTCATCGAAGGCTACGTTCTTTGCCGTTGCACCGGACTGCGCTGAAGCTTTTTATTTCGTTTTTATCTCATTTTTATCTTGCATATCTGTATGATAATCTTGAACTTGCTGAGAGGGTCCTGAAGCACCTTCACCACTTGTCGTATCATGCCTGAGCGCGTGAAATGTCAGCTTTGCGATTAGAGAATTTTAATCGCGAATAATTTAAGAACTATTATACTCTCGACATTTTCGTATTACAGGATTTTTTTCTTACAATGTTCCAAAGAATCCACTCTTGAAAAGAAATGCGGTGATTTTGGGACACCCTGTATATTTTTATTTATCAATACCAAAATCAAATATATATATTGACCAGATAATCGTAAAACTTAATTACTTCTTTTTGAATTGTATTGTTCAATTTATAATAATTTACATATTTTAATACGAGAAAAATATGTAAGAGTCTCCGCGGTTGTCAGTGCGTAAATAATATATTCATATAATAAGGTGAAAGGATGCGATTCGCAAACAATTAAAACGTATACAATGAACAAATGTTTCGATACTCCGTATTAGAGTCCTCTTCAGTGCGGAAATTAAGGATAAAACTAAACTACACCGTCAATTTAGTTTGTACTTTACTTTCGCACTGAAGACTCAAATCCGGAGTCAAAACATTTGTAAACGATTTTGTTTATTATACCATATATTGTTCTAATTGTTTGCGAATCGCATCCTTTCGCCTCATACATAGGTATATAACTAAATTATTATATTTACGCACTGATAATCGCGGTGGCTCTTATAGGCACTTTTTTTATATTGAATTTATTTTTACCACAAACCGTTTGTTTAATTTAATTACATATTTTACATTGTATTGTCTACGTGAAAAAGATTTGTATAAATTTAACGTAAACAATACGTAAATATTATTCCATGTAAACGTGTTCTTGAAATATATGGCACAACTCTGCAACATGTAGGTATCAGTTGTAAGCAAAACGTCGGACGATAAGAAAAGCGGATTATATCTCGAAAGGTACACTTCTTTCGCGAGCAGGTTTTAAGATTAAAACCACGCGCGGATGGACGTCACGTTCTTTCACCGATCGTCCGGTCTTATCGAGCGGAGAAAAATCGTTTCCTGAGGATCGATCACGCCAATCTGATTTTACTCTTCGTTTAATCCCGTCGCGACGACGGCGGCGATTAATTCGCGGAATTATCGCGTCGCGTTGAGCTCGTTGGAACGTTTTCTTGAACTTTCGCGAAACCTGGCAGGTGGAAAAGGCACGTAATCGTATAATCCGAATCGCGGCGCTAATTTCGCGCGGACGAACGATGAATCTTGGCGCAATCTCCTTCGTCGGAGCGTGACCGGCTGCTAACGAACGTGAAAGGAAAAACATTGGACGACAGTCAGTACGCGGACGTTGACGACGTTATCACACCGAGTTATCGAAAATAATTTGCACGTGGCGGTGCAACGTTACATAAATTTAATCCGATAACTCGTCTCGTGTTATCGCAAAGGCGGGAAATCGGGCACATGTAGGGACGCCACCAATTTAACGAGCTACCAATGAATGCTTACTTAATTTAATGTCTACACCTGCATGCAGATACCACTTGTCGTTACTTTACAGATACGCCTCGGTATCGCTGATGATAATCCATAAATTTATTGTGACAATTAATTACACAGAGTATCGGTAGCCGATTCGTAATTTATATGTAACTAATTAGCGCACTATACTTGACATTTCAGAATTAACTTCGCAAAATATCTTAATGCTTTCATTATTCATATTTTCTATTTGATAATATTTTTCGTATATCGATATAGAGATACTTTTCGAAGGAAAAACGTTGAGAAATTGCTGATTAATTATCTGTGCTATGGAAATATTGCAATACGCTGTTAAATATATGCCACTTAAAAAACCGTATTGCGTCGAGCATAGGACGTATTTATTGACTGTATCTTGATTAAAGCACCGAACTCGAGTTTTTATTCTAGAAACGAAATTTCCCTTCGGTCCCGTTTCGGAGTCGTTTGCGTCATGGTCTTACTTTCACGCGCCGTCAAAGTTTGATTGCGAACACGCAATCAAGAGAATTTCCCTTTGACCCTTTGCGAGTTACGTTCTTATATTTTTGCTCACCTGAGGAAAGTTGCAGTTCCATGCGTCACGTTTAATTTCGCCTATCTACGGCCATTCGACGCGAGTCGAATGGCCAGTCGATGGCGATGAATAATGTAACTTAAGATTATTGATACTTGCGTTCGATACGATATTATCCGCGCGATCTATAAATATCGTGTGTCCTTTGTTTACTGTTCAAAGATAAGCGCGACTTGACGATTGTGCAGCACGTATTCGTGTGTCGAACGGCCGGTATTTATGCGTAGTTGATAATTACGGCCACGATAAGAATCCGTATTTTGCCAATAATCAGCAATTTTCTTTTTCGGTAGATATAATTTAGGCCACTGTTCAGCTTAAGGACAGTAACAATGGCTACGTTCAGCAGAACGTTTGTTTTGCAACTGTTGGAAGTTTCCTTCGCGCTGATTGGATCATACTTTTAGATCTAGAAGAATGGTCCTATCTCAGCAGACAATCATAAAACGGTTGTAAAACTGTTGAGTCTGCTGAACGTAGCCAATAGCGTTATATTACCGTTGTGCAGCTATTTTAACATGTACAAAATTTGCGAAACGACAGTGTAATGATATCGTTATTATCATTAAGAGTTACAAAATAGGAGCTTTAATCGCGAAATTATTAAAGTTTCAATGATGATGTAACAGCTCTGAAGTAAAATAATAATGATATATAATTCTTACAACGTGGTTTTTTCGGATATACATACGTGCGTTTTATTATTCATTTCACGTTTAAAGTCTGATTACGTTGCAAAAATTGTGTGGTTACTGCTCGGTCGTACGGATAGAAAGGACAATTCTGTAATCCGAATCGAATGCCAATGTCTAAATGAATCGAGGTATATTGCCTTTGTAATAAAAGCGTTGGTTATCGAAAAGTGCTATAAATATTTATTAATACTGGTCTCTATTATTTTTCACACATCGCATTACGTTCCTGCTTTATATCAACGTGCAATCGGTTTTTCTCGGAAATTTCTCGAAAAACTGTCGTTACGAGAATTACATCGAGCCGCAGTATTTTAATATCCGCTTCGCAGTGTATACATCCTGCACGTTTCTCTATTTTCCGCGAATATCGTTGCCGCAGCCAATTGTACGCTAACATTTGCAATTCGTTTCCACTTTCTACAAACAGCATCTCGAGTACGCCTGCAACAGTCCCGATCGTGGTTACGTTTGTCCTTTGCGTCAAGCGGCAAAATTATAAATTTCCATTACGATATGACAGAAATATCTAACTTCCTCGGTAGAATGTAATTTTTGCGAGTTGCCCGCGTACAACTGATTTTCTTCTTAAAGTCCGTTCTTTTCAAAGCCGGAAATTACGACCCCAGAAACGAAGGAAGAAAGGAAGAAAACGAAAAAAATTTCCCGCGGTTTATTCTGAAATAACTTTTTGCCGATGAAACCATTATAATATGCAGACCACTTGCAGAGATTTTGTATAATATGGCAGCTGTCGAAATCAAAACATTTATTCAGAGCAACGTAAATACTATATCCCTTTTGAAAGGATCTTTATTTTGTTAAGAGATATGTGAGCTGTATTAGATTATTAACTGATTTCGCGTTGTAATATTTTCTTGATTTCTTGATTCAATCCGTTTGATGAATAGCCAGTTAGGAACAGCATCTTCATTTATTCTCGTTTCTCGCGTCATGATTCAAGATGGCTGATGCGAGTATCGCCGACCTTTAATCGGTCGATTCTGAGGTGACGTAGTTTAGTGGAAAGCCACTTCTG